TTGTTAGATATTGTTAAGATATTGTTAGATATTGTTAAGATATTGTTAGATATTGTTAACCACAATATCAAACAATATCTTTTGTTTATTTTGTTTACTTTCGGTTACTCTTTTAGTTGTACCTCTCTATTATAAATAGATTACCTTATGTATGATTTATACACAAGGGAGATTAATTTCAAACCCTATTTCCTCTATATTCAACATGATATCTAGAGCTTAAGGTTATCTTAATTTTTTTTTTCGCCTTTTGTCCACTGCTGGTAAACTGATCCTCCACATCAGAAAAGAATTATCTTTGTTACTGAATTTTATTTGGTAGTGTGAAAGTGCATGTCTAGGAAAGTTCTGGCAAGGAAAGACTTGGTATTTAAGTGTGTTCATTAGTGACCCACCTCTCTTTCTTGGGAACTTACCTGGTGTACTGGTTCACGTTACTGTCACCGTTGCCGCTGGAGCAGTCACCGGATCTGCCACTACCGGAGAATCCACCGAAGTTTCATTTTTTGACCGGTGACATATGATTTTTCTTGTCTCGGTTAGGTGACCACCATACCGTTGAGATCACCACTATTGGAGTTGGTCGTCCTGTTGTCTCCTGCGCCGTTTAGTCTTGGCGAACTTATTTTTAGTATTCTCATTTTGGATTTGTGCTTCGTGGGTTAATTGGATTACTTTGGATTGTTTTAGGGTTTGTTCTCCCGCTCTTCATGACTTCTTCCACTTCTACTATTTCTAATTTTGTTAATGATTCTTTTGTGTTGACATCTCATCGTGATGACCGGACTCGCCTTCGCAAACAGGGAAAAGGGCGTCCTAAGTGTGAACATTGTAGCAAACTAGGTCACAAGATTAACAAGTGTTATATATTACATGGTCGTCCTCCTCGATCTGCTGTAGTTGTTCAGACCAACCTTTCCCCACCTTTATCTGCTGGGGATTCTCCTTCTTCTGTTGCATCTGACATGTCTGCTATGTTCAACAAATTTCTTGAATGGTATAAGGATCAACAATATTTTAGTTCCACTATATCTGTCACACATACAAATACATATTTTACTGGTCTGACCCAATCATTTTCTCCTGGTCCTTGGGTTTTTGATTCAGGAGCCACTGATCATATTACTGGTAACAAATCTTTGTTCTCCTCTTTATCCTCTCCTAATCATTTACCTTCTGTTACACTGGCTGATGGATCTAGAGTATCATCTCATAGTGTTGGAACGGTTAAACTTTTTCCTTCTTTAACCATTGATAATGTTCTTTATGTCCTTGGGTCTCCTTCTAACCTGTTGTCCATCAATCGTCTAACTCGTTCTCTTGATTGTGTTGTTACTTTTACCAACAATTCTGTGTGTTTACAGGACCGGAGTTCGAAACAGGTGATTGGCACAGAATGTGAGTCTCATGGTCTTTATTATCTCCGTCCCTCTACACATGTTAGTACAGTTATGAAGTCGTCCTCTCTTCTTCATGCTCAGTTAGGTCATCCAAGTCTTGCCAAGTTACAGAAACTTGTCCCTGCCTTGTCCAACTTATCTAGTTTAGCGTGTGAGTCATGTCAATTAGGCAAGCATAGTTATACTTTCTTTCCTCGTAGTTTCACATGTGGTGCTTCGTCCCCTTTTGTCGTGGTTCACTCTGACATTTTGGGACCTAGCCGCGTTAAGTCTACTTTAGGTTTTCAATACTTTGTTACTTTCATTGATGATTATTCCAGATGCACTTGGTTATTTTTGATGAAAAATCGTTCTGAATTATTTCATATCTTTCAAACTTTTTTTAATGAAATTCAAACTCAGTTCGGTGTTTTTATTAGAGTTTTGCGTAGTGATAATGACCGTGAATATCTTTCTCATTCTTTTAAATAATTCATGGCTTCTTACGGTATTTTGCATCAAACTTCTTGTGCTTATACACCTCAAAAAATGGTGTAGCTGAACGTAAAAATAGACATCTTATTGAAACAACTCCCACACTTTTAGTTCATGGAGATGTTCCTCAACATTTTTGGGGTAATGCTCTTTTTACTGCATGTTATCTCATTAATCGCATGTCTTCTTCGGTTTTAGATAATAAAATACCTCATTCCATTTTATTCCCTCATGAACCACTTCATCCTTTACCTCTGAAAGTTTTCGGGTCTACATGTTTTGTTCATAATTTCAGTTCTGGTCTTGACAAACTTTCTCCTAGATCACATAAATGTGTTTTCTTAGGGTTTACAAGATCACAAAAAGGATACAAATGTTTTTCTCCTTCTCTTAACCGTTATTTTGTGTATGCAGATGTCACATTTGATGAGTTGTCTCTTTATTTTAAAAGTCAATCTTCACCTCTGTCTCCATCCAATCTTGTCAACACTCCTAGTACATTTAATGTTCCTATTGTTTGTGATCCTCTAACTATGTCTTCTTCACCATTAGTTCCTGCTCCGCAGTCAGCTTCTTCTCCACTGCCTCTTCAGATTTATAGTTCTCAAAACCAATCACAACCACCACCATGTGACTCCTCTCAAGTGTCAACTACTCTGTCTCCTCCGGATCTAACACATGAGTCTGACCTTCTCATTGCCCTCCGAAAAGGTATTTGTTCTACACGTAATCCCTCTCCCCATTATATTGTTTTGAGTTATCATCGACTGTCATTACCTTTTTATACATGTCTTTCCTCTATTTCTTCTGTGACCATTCCAAAAACTGTCCGTGAAGCTTTAGCCCATCCTGGTTGGCATCAAGCCATCTTAGATGAACTAAGTGCTCTTCATAATAGTGAAACTTGGGAATTGGTCCCGTTACCATCTGGGAAATCTGTTGTTGGTTGCAGGTGGGTGTTTGTTATCAAAGTTGGACCTGATGGTACTATTGATCGCCTCAAAGCTCGTCTTGTGGCCAAAGGTTATACTCAAATTTTTGGGTTGGATTATGGAGATACCTTTTCCCCTGTGGCAAAGATGGTTTCTGCTCGTTTATTTATCGCCATGGCCGCTCTTCAACAATGACCTCTTTATCAAATGGATGTTAAAAATGCTTTCCTCAATGGTGATTTGAAAAAAGAAATATATATGGAGCAACCTCCTGGGTTTGTTGCTCAGGGGGATTCTTCTGGGATGGTATGTCATCTTTGCAAATCCCTATATGGCCTAAAACAGTCTCCTAGGACTTGGTTTGGAAAGTTTAGCAAGGTTGTTCAACAATTTGGTATGACTCGGTGTGAAGTAGATCATTCTGTCTTTTATCGATACTCAGATATCTGTCACCATTTTCAGACCAAAGATCTGGGCAAACTCAGATATTTCTTGGGTATTGAGGTGGCATAATCCAATGATGATATTGTTATATCTCAGAGGAAGTATGTCATAGATATTTTGGAGGAAACTGGGTTGATGAGTTCAAAGTCTATTGATACACCCATGGATCCCAATACTAAACTTCTACCAAATCAGGGGGAGCCTATATCTGATCCTGAGTAGTATAGAAGATTGGTTGAAAAATTGAATTATCTTTCAGTTACTCGTCCTGACATTTCCTTTGCAGTCAGTGTGGTAAGTCAATTTCTTAATTTACCATGTGAAGATTATTGGAATGCAGTCATTCGTATCTTGAAGTATATTAAAGGATCTCCTGGAAAAGGATTGTTATATGGTTCTAATAACCATACAAGAGTTGTTTGTTACTCAGATACTGATTGGGCAGGATCTCCTTTGGATAGAAGATCTACATCTGGATATTGTGTCTCCATTGGTGGTAACTTGATCTCATGAAAAAGTAAGAAACAAAGTGTTGTGGCAAGATCTAGTGCAAAAGTAGAATATAGAGTTATGGCCTCAGCTGCCTGTGAACTTGTTTGGCTCAAACAATTGCTTAGAGAGTTACAATTTGGAGATGTCACTCAAATGACACTTGTGTGTGACAATCAGGTTGTTCTTCATATTAGTTCTAATCCTGTCTTTTATGAGAAGACCAAACACATTGAGATTGACTGTCATTTCATTCCAGAAAAGATTATGTCTGGAGATATCAAGACTGAATTTGTTAACTCAAGTGATCAGTTAGCAGATATTTGCACTAAGTCTTTACGAGAGCCTAGAATTGATTATATTTGTAACAAACTTGACACATACGATTTGTATACTCCAGCTTGAGGAAAAGTGTTAGATATTGTTTAGATATAATTTGATATTGTTAAGATATTGTTAGATATTGTTAACCACAATATCAAACAATATCTTCTGTTTATTCTGTTTACTTTCGGTTACTCTTTTAGTTGTAACTCTCTATTATAAATAGATTACCCTATGTGTGATTTATACATAAGGGAGATTAATTTCAAACCCTATTTCCTCTATATTCAACAATATGATACTATTTTTTTTATTAAGTGCTACTTATCTTAATTTTTCTATTGAATACTAACGCTACATTTAATATACTCTAATTAACACAATTTATAATCAATAAATTTATCATAAATTACAAAAAAACCACAAGTGAATAATAGAAAATGTATTAAAGAAAAAGTGAGTTTGAAACTATTTTTCTAAAACTCTGTTCACAATCATCTTTAGTTGCAAGTTTAAAATTTTTAAAAACTACAATTAATATTTAGTTTTTAAAAAATATATTTTAGTTTTAAAAATTTAATATTCTCACTCAACCTCAACCAAATTGCAACAATAAAATAGGAAATTAACACAGAAGAATAAGACACCACCTGATGCTGAATAGTTCAGAAGATAAAACACATAAAATTGACCAAATATAACAAATTTGCATGTGAGAGATCAATAGTTTACACATGTATGAACACCATTTCAACCCAAGAAAGCAGCTTTAGAACCCATATTAAGTCAATTATAACTGATGATTTTGCACCATACAAGGACCTAGTTTTAACCTAGTAAATATAGGTTGCACTTAATTGTTGCTACCTTGAGGCTATAATTACTAGTTGTGAAGGTGTTTGTTGAATTGTTTCTGAGGACATATACCAAAAAGGAAATGGCAAAGATATCATTAAGTTTGGTGTTTGCATTGATGGTGAGTGTGGCATTGCATTTAGTTTTGTGTGAGGATAATCCATGGCAGACTGTAATAGAGGAAGCAAAAAGAGAAGCAAACAAAGCAGGTTTATCTGATGAAACAATATTTGGGGCTGAGAAGGCTGTAGCAGATGGTACTGCTCAAAAGGCTGCTCAGGATGTCTTAGGTGGAGGATCTTTCAGCGAGTGGGTTGAAAAAGCTCGGTAAGAACTTGTCTTATGTGTCATTCTTATCTTCTTCTATATTTTACACACACCATCCAATTTCTATGCCTCATGAACCTCTGCATTTCACTCCTTTCTTTATAAGAAAACTATGATACTAAATATTTCTAAATCAAAAGTAATGTGACGTTAGTATGTTTTTACAATGTTGTTGTTGTTGTTACAAAACAGTGATATGACCAACGATGAAGCTACATATGATGCAATACCAAGTTTAGCTGGTGACACGGATGAAGTTTCATCTGATGCAGCACCATATTTATCTACTGAGGTGGTCAACGATGCAGTTTCATCTCCTGATGCAGCACCAAATGAAGCACCAAATGCAGCACCGAATGAAGAACAAACTTTATTTAATAATATTGTCATCGATGGAGTTTCATCACCTGCTCCAGCACCAAATTTATTTGATGATGACGAGGATTTTGAGCTGGAATTTGCACCAAAAAGATCACCATCTGAAGCACCCGTAGGAGAACCAACAGAGGCACCCGAAGCTGAAACTCCCTCTGAAGCGTGAGATAGAGATTTGGTTTCACCAAAGATGCATAGACCAAATATGTGTAGGTTAAATCACAAAATAACTTTACGTAAATACTCTACATTCTATAATTATTTAAACCTTGTTGACACAAGCTTATGTTATTTGCAAAATAATATGTAAATTGATTGTTGGCTTGATGTGTACAAATTATGTGACAAAGTATGAACAAGAATCACTCCCAAAGACAAGTAGTGGGAGGGAAGAAATGTTAGTAGATGATGTACAAAAAGATCACACTCTAGTTGTGTGAACATAAAAAGTATATTGCATGTAATATTTTTTGTTAGGATGAAACACCCATTGTTTTTTGCTTTGACCAATACATTGATGTACATAAAGTTACAGAATTTTTTATTTATATTGAGTATTTACTGGTCATTGATTGTTATATTGAATAAAATTGTTAAACTTGTATTTAAATTAAATTAATTTCATCTATCATCATAAAATCAAACTATTCTTATCTAAGCAGTTATTCATGTGTCAAAATGCATAAATGTTTTCAATACCTAAGAGTTAGATATGTTTGTTGCCCTTTAAAAAAGTGTAGTTTTGTTGAAAAAAAAATTGTTCCAAAATATATATTATAGTAAAATTCGATAATAAATTATAATTGATAATTTGAATGGAGAAGATAATAAGAATAATAAGAATAAAACGTTAACAAATTGATTAAAAATAATAAAAAATAATATTTACCTTAATTTTATAACCTAATATTACATGACACATATTTAGTAATAGAAAAAATACGTCTTAAGACATATTCATTGAACATTAATAGTCCATTAAACTAATAGGATATTGCTACAATAATTGATATAATAAACTTGTTTAAACTACGTTCCAAATGACTTTATATCTTGGGTTTATTATTTTAAAAATAATAATTATATTTTAAAAGTTAAAAATAATATTATTTTATTAAAATAAGTAAATCATAATATATATATATATATATATATATATATATATATTAAATGTATTTACTGTTGCAAACATAAATATTTGATTTTTATAAATGAATATTTACAAAAATTTTACTTTACATCTTAAAACAAAATATCTATACCTCAAAACACTCTTGTATTTATTGTTATCATTTTATATCTAAAATAGGATATGTTTACATGTCAAACTTTTTACTTCTCAATATGCCCAACGTAAATCAATACAAATTTACATTTCCCACGTTCACGTCGACATTAATCTAATGTAAAAAGTTAACAAATATAAAATATCTTATATGCACTAGTGATAATTTAATTAAATGAAGAACATTATTTTTTTTTAAGTTTTAAAAGATTATGAATAAAAAAAGAAAAATATTTTATTCTTCATTTATATAAAATTACCTTCTCAAAAATCCTTTTTCTCTGAGTTCTTTTCGGAACTCCAAACTTATCTCTTAAAATCTTAAAGTTTTTTATCATTTTTCTTTTGATCTTAAGACTTTTGCATGTGAGATTTCTTGGGTAACGATGACCTTTTGCTAACATAAGATCATAGTAGTATAGTTTTGTTTTTTTATTAGGATCTTTTGCAATATTAGGAGCATCAAGAAGTTTTGGCTTGAAAGAAGCAAAGTGTAAAACAAGGGAAGCTAGTTGTTTTAAATAGAAAATTAGTGCCCTACATTAAAAAAAAAAAAAAACTAAATGTTTGGAGAACGACATTGTTATATATGTTGAAATTTTAGGAGTTTGTGATATGTTTGAACCATTATTTTTTTAATGCTAAATGTTGAAATTCTATGAGTTTGTTGTGATTTTGTCAACTTATGAATTGATATTTGGTTTTTATGATTTAGAAATGATTGTGTACAAGTATTATTTTAGTTGACTTAGATTAAATTGGGTTTCTTTAGTGAGCATAATGTTTGGATTCAAATGGGTTGCAATAAGTATTTAAAGTTTTAATAGCTTTTAAAAGTTTTAGATTATCACGTATCCATCCAATGAATTTAATTTCACTTAATGATTTTAAGACATTCTTGAAATTGCTAAAATCTCACTTAACAATTTTAAAATTTGTCTAGCATATTAGAGGCAATTTTTAAATTGCTTAAATTCACTAAGTGAAATCACATTTTACTCAACGTAAATTATCCAAAAGAAAATATAAATGATAGTTTTTCTACCTAATTTGTTCATTCAAATAGATTTTGACGTAGCCAAATCTATTTTGACTCAACCATATATATTTTTTGGCTAAGCTAAATTCAAGTTAGCTCAACCAAATAATAAGTAAAAATATCAAATTATTCAATTCAAATAATTTTGTTTTGTTTTTAGATAGTGTAAATAACTTATTTAATTGTTTTAAATGTAAAAGTTGCTTGTACTTTGATTAATTTTCATTATATATTTATTGCTTATATTTGGATTATTATTATGTATTTGATTACAATAAATAGTGTGTATTGTATCTTGGTTTGAAATATCAATAATTATTAAGGAAGTATTAATTATTACGTTACGGTGTAATATGAGAAACTCAAGTTCAAGATCTACCAATAGTCTATAATCACATAGATTAAGATATTAAAAGGTGAAGAACCAATAAGAGTTCCAATTGTCTAATGGATTGATGGAGATTAATGGGGTCACCTACCACACTGAGGCTAGATGTTAGAGTGTGGGGGTGTTAGTCTAGGTGTTCAATCTAAATATTGTTCTTCTAAGTATGGTATATGTGAATGGACCCATGGAGGCGTGAGCCTGTAAGATTGGATAATGACATGGGTATGGCTAAAAGGTTATTGAGAGACATTTGATTTGAGTCGTCGTTAATGAATATTCAAATTTTATTATGAAAATGCTTTGGATGAATTAAGTTATGAATAAAAGTTTAGTGAATTACTTTTCATTCTCACCATCATTCTTTAGTAATTTAATACTTTAAAATAGTAATTTATTTTAATTATTAGACTAAAAAATAAATAAATAATAAAATAAAAAGTAAGTATCTAACTTTTACTATTAAACGTGATCTTTTTATCTATATATATAGAATATGCCTTAAATTTTCAAGTTTATATGTTTTTCGTATTTAAAGTAACAATAGTGGGATTGTTACATTAATGTTATTTGAATAGGTAGTATCTTAAGTGTCATGAGGGAATTGGGTTTATCATGTTTTGTGTGTGATTGGTTTTGTGTTTTGTAGTTATGTTTTATTGTCATGGTTTAAAAAATCTAAGGTAGATTGCTTCTAACTTAATTTCTTAATGCGTATTATTATGTTTTTTAGGATGATATACCCTTTCTTATCTTCAAATTTGAGTCATTTACCCGTACGGTTAACTTATTTCTTTTTGGTTACCATTGCGTTGAGTGGAATGGGTATTTTAAAGAATGAATCTTGATAGATTTGTGAAGGTGCATACATAAGATTTGATTATAGATTAATTTTTCTCTTAAAATTTCAAATCTCTTATAATTTGGTGAAGGTTTTTTTTTATCTATATTTAGTACAGATTTGAGAGTGATATATGACTCTAAAATGACACACACTTTTCGTGTTGTGTGGTGGAGTTGTGTTTGCTAGTGATGGAGCTTCAGAATGAGCTTCTAGGTTCAACATTGGCATCAAGGATGGTATTGACTTCCGCGATTTGTGATGGGTGTCCTATGGTTGTAAAGGACACACATTCAATGTCAACTTACCTCAATATGATCTAGATGCAATAATAGGGATAGATTGGTAAGTCATCAATCATATCCTTATCAATTGTACTCAGTAGAAGATAGTGTTTCCAATTTAATGGAAGGAATGTTGATGTTTACAGAACAAGTGCAGAATGAGCACAAAGATAGGGCCAATTTTTATCTTATTCAAACTAAGGTAGATGTTAGAAATGAGATTCAAATGAGGGCATACTAGTAGTGAATTTAAAGGATGCTTGTCCCGAATAAGTGCTTGGGTTATGAAATCTTTAGTTGTATAGGTTTTCAAAATTTAGTTTCCCCAAAAATGTAGTAAGAGATAAACAAAGTATCAGTCCAAGGAGTACAATTACAAATTGTTCTTTTTATGATATGTAATTTGAATGAAAAAAAAAAGACTAAGTAAATTTGTGGGAATTTTGAGTTATAAAAGTAAAAAAAAAGTTAAAAGTAAACAACTAAAAGAAATTTTAAACTAGTAAACTAAAATATATCAAATTACTTTGTATGCAAATTGTTAAAAACTTTAAATGGAACTAAACAATAAATGATAAAATCAAATTGGTAAAAAAATGCTAAAGATACTAAAACCAAATCAAGAACCAAATAAAAAAATGTTAGAATAAAAAAAACTATTGTGACAGATTTAGCTAGAAAATTTTGTATGTTGTAAATTTAATAAAAACTAAACAATCAATTATCAAAATTAGAAACCAAATTGATTAAGCATACAATTGGAATTAGAAAATGATTAAAATGATGTAGAAACTACAACAAAACTCTAGAGAACCGAATTGAAAAATGCAATTAGACTAAAACATTTGCTAATTATGAATATGAACATGTTATGACTTAAATTGCCTAAAATATGCAACTAAAAGAATTCAAACAGAATTGAACTAAGTGCTAAACAGAATTAGAAATGCTTCTAAATATTTTAGAACACAAAGAATTAAGAAGAATTAAGCCTATACTCTAAAACAACATAAAAAAACTAGAGTAGAATTCTAAACTATACTAAACTAGTGCATGTAACATGTTTGTAAAAGAATTTAGAAACTAAAACAACTAATTTTTTTTTGGAATTAACAAAAACAAGAATAAAATCATACTTGAAATTAAATCTGGACAGAAAATACAATAAGAAAAAAATTGTAATAATTGAAAAATTCAAATGGACAAAAACTTGAAACTACTCATGATCAAATGCAAAGATTAACTAGAAATAAACTTCTAATTGTGTGAAAAACTTAAAAACCTATTAACTAATGTTTAGAATGTCTAAATTGTGAAAAAACAGCAAAGGATTGTCAAGAACAAATTTTACAAAATCAAAGACAAAAATTCAATCAAATGTACAAGTTATTCCTAAATTGAAAGTTACTCCTAAATTGCTATGAACAAATCAAACATAAAATACTCTTAAAATGAATTTTAACCAATTGAATTCTAAAACAAAGTAAAAAAACTTGAAACAACATTTATGAACAACATTATAACCAATGAAATTGGAGAAGTTAAGCCAAAACAACAAAACCAAAATTAAAATGATAAAACAACGTCAAAACAACAAGAACAACGAAACAACACATGAAAAATTTATGAAATTGACTAATGAGACATGATTCTTATCCTTAATGAATAAGGAACCAATTAAGGCTTAAAAAAACAAGAATTATACTCAAATCACTGCCAAAACAATGTAAAAACCGAAAACAATGAAGAAGAATAAATCTGGAAACAACATTGTGAGCAATCTATGATTATGTGATGAATTGAAGTAGAAATTCGTGTAAAACAAATATAAAACAAAATTGAATTGAAAGAAAAACTAAAGTAAAGAGTAAGAGAAAGAAATAGAACTTAGAGAACTTGAACTAGTTTCACAGCAATTAAAGAATAGAATTTGGTATGTGTTACATTGACACGAAAATGCCTTATTTATAAGTTCAAATGTGAGTTAAATAGAATTAAAACTAACTAAACTATGATTAATACTAATTACAAGCGTGTCCTAAATTTAACTATAGTTAATTTCCATATCACTTCCGCAATAGGATCTTCAATTTCGCATTACCATCTTCTCTGATTTATTAAAAATATCTCCAAGCTCCAAAAATAGTCAAATTTGTGTTAAAATTAAAGCTTAAGATGTCTAATTTATAAATAAAAAAATCAACTCAATCGAAGTTCTGTAGAAAAAGATATAAATCAAAGAAGAGACAAAGGTCAAAATTGGTCAGTGAAAAAATTAGAAGTAATACAAAAAGCTATGTTAAAATATAGAAATTAGTATATTTTTGCAATTTTGCATATTTTTTCCTAAAAATACAATCTATTTTAATATGATAGAATAAGAACCTAAAAGAATCTAATTCTGCTTTATTAACTAGGAAAAATACTAACAAATGAGTTGTCACACTACAAAAAAAAAAAAGTATTATCTACAAAATATTGCCTACGAATAAAAATTCGTAGGTAAAATATTCATTACATACATATATTATCTATGAAATTTTATCCGTATGTAAATTATTCATTACCTACTGAAAATTTGTCCATAGGTAATGTCATCCGTGAGTAATTATCTATTACCTACAGAATTACTGTCCCTAGGTAATGTAATTCGTGAATATTATTCATTACCTACGAAATTACTATCCGTAGGTAATGTTGTCATCCATTACCTACAGAATTACTATCCGTAGGTAATACCATCCGTGGATAATTATCTATTATATACATAATTACAGTCCGTAGGTAAATTACATACGGATTAGAATCTGTAGGTAAATTACATACGGATTAGAATCCGTAGGTAAGTTATATCAAATTAAGATAATTATATTAAATATATAAATATGTAAATATATAAATATGTAAATATATAAATACATAAATATATAAATACATAAATATATAAATACATAAATAAATATATAAATATATAAATATACAAATACATAAATATACAAATACATAAATATACAAATACATAAATATACAAATACATAAATATATAAATACATAAATATATAAATACATAAATATATCAATATATCAATATATAAATATATCAATATATAAATATATCAATATATCAATATATAAATATATCAAAATATAAATATATCAAAATATAAATATATTTGTATTTATATATTTTATATTTATATATTTACATGGATAAATATAAATATAATTTATTTATAAGTTAGTATGAGAATATCTTAATAGCTTAGTGGTTAGAGTATAAACCTCAAACTCTAAAGTACCTGGATTCCTATGAGTGATAATTCTTTTAATCGAATAATAATTCAAACTTCTAAAAAATGTAATCAATAATAAAAATATAATACAAAGGGGAGGGGGGCTCTAGATACATAGAGGGATTTTGTAGTAGTAGATAAAAATATTTATTTCAAGCGAGTGCATTACCTACGGATTTTTGCTGTAGATAATAGGTTTTTTTTTGTAGTGTCATCGGATTACCTCCTAAGAGGAGAGTAAAATTTTCTCTTAATTTGGTACCAAGCAGGGTTGGGGTCAATGTTAATGGTTTTATACAAGATGACTCAAACTAAGTTAAAAGAACTAAAAAAGTAAGTTGAGGAGTTTTTGGAGAAATAATTTATTAGACTCTGTGTCTCCTTAAGAAGCATTAACGTTGTTGGTGAATAAGAAAGATGGGGACCTAGGTTGTACATATATATAATTGATAATTGAGCAAGTTAAATATAAAAAATAATACCTATTATCGATGATTTATCATATGATAGATTAGTTACATGGAGTAGTTAATCTCTCGAAGGTCGATTTGAGATATGAATATCATTAGATCTTAATTAATATTGAAGAGAAGGTAACCTTAAGATCTAGATGCAACCTAAGTGCATGGTGATGTTCTTTTGAGTGAAAAAAGCTCTTACTTTATTCATGGACTACATGAATAGAGTTTTTTAATTTTGAGTATTTTGAGCGAGAAGTAGTTATATGTAAAGTTGTTCAAGTGCAACTTTTAGTTGACTAAGGTACAATTCATAGAGATTAGGAGTTTAATGGGTCTAGTTGGTTACTACGAGAGGTTTATAAGAGAGTTTTATATAATAGTAGCACCTTTGACACAACTAATTCGCAAGGACCAACCTTTTAGATAAATATATACGTGTGAGCAAAGTTTTTTGGAGTTGAAGTGAAGATTGATAATTTGACTTGTCTCAGTGATTCTTGATACAAGTAAACCTTTTAAAGTTTACTATGATGTGTCACATTAGGGGCTTGATTGTAAGAGAATAAAGTTATGGCCTATGCTTCATGGCAGTTAAAGGTTTATGAAAGAAAATATCCTAGTCATGATTTGGAGATGGAAGTTGAGTGTTTGACTTGAAGATTTGGAAACATTATCTTTATAATGCTCAATTTCATGCATTCAATGGTCATAATAGCTTAAAATACCTTGGCAAGAAGGAAATAAATGTGAGACAAGGAAGATGGATGAAATCATTAAAAGATTATGATTTTTAATTGATGTACCATCCATGAAGGTGAATATAGTGTTGGATGCTTTGAGAAGAAAGATGATCTAGGTTTCAGGGATGATGGTGAACGAGTTGGAGTTAATTGAGCAATTCAAGGATTTGAATTTGATAGTAGAGTTTT